CCATGCAACATAGAAAAGTACATGTAAACAAGCTGAAATCATCTGAAGAACAAAAGCGGACAACGTGACCTTCCTGTGGACGCCTACTCGCTCGATGGCGCCATTGTTGACGAGGACCTCGCCCACAACAATCACTATCATCATCATCATCATCATCATCAACATCATGACTTCCAGTGAAGATTTGGCAAGGAGGGACGAGAAAACCATTTAAGTGAAGAAATTGTAGATATATTTAAACATGGAAAGAAAGAGGGAAATTGTGAGAATCCTGATGTTTATTGTGTCGGTGTGTTTGTGGTGAAGAGTAAACTTTCCCCACAGAGAACGTGGGACACTGCCAGAGAGGAACAATGGAAACTTAATTAGATCAAGAGTTTGTTCATAGCACACACAAAACACACACACAGCACTTATTCATTCTTCTTGTAATAGAGACAGTGTAGTCACAAGCATGAAAACTGAAGACATGAATATTGAAATGATATTCCTTACAAATGTTTTATTTGCTGCAGGCTGCACTGTGAGATCATGTGCTTATAAACAACCCAATTCCTCATAAGACTGTTATTGAGAAACAAATTAGCTTTACACACTCCTCGGCCTAAAATAGTCAAGCTATGAGAACACAACGTCTTAAAAGTAACAGCACCAGCCTTTGAAAGGACCCCCTGCTGTTCTTCTCAGTGGTTCCTGCTGCGCGGATCAAGCCCTCAAATCCAAGTTCCTCTTTGGCAAAGAGCTCCTTGAACAGGAATCTTAAGTGAAGCAGCTTGAAGTCTTTTTTTGGGAGATAAATGCTGACGCTGTCACTGTCAGACTGTGTTGAATAGGAAGTTAGAAAGGTTGAAATGTCCTTACAGCCTATCAGGGGTGTCAAACTCAAGGCCCGTGACTTCATTTTCTGTGGCCCCACAAGAGCTGGCAAAGAATATAATATGTGTATTATACAGTTACATGCAGCTTTAGAAGCACGTTGCCCATAAACTACATGTCCCACAATGCATCTCAAATATGCCTTTTTTCTCAGAATAAAAATGTTCTTCAAAATATGCCAATTTCTTAGAATTTGCCTTTTTCTAAAAATGTCACTTATTTTTTTCGATTTTGACTTTTTTCCCAGAATTTGGATTTTCTTTTTAAATCATTTTGTGACATTCTCACTGAAGAGACTTGCAATTATTTTCCCTAGACTTCTTCTTTCAGACGTAGTTAATTATGAAGTTATTACCCTATCTGATAATAATCCAATGTAGAGGCAATAATGTAATATAATACATTATTTTATATATATTAAATATTTATATATGTATTTTTATATAGTCTTAAAGTTACAACCGGCCCTTTGAGTGCAGCCATAATGCTGATGTGGCCCGCGATGAAATTGAGTTTGACACCCCTACTGTACATTCATTCAAAGGGAATGCAAATGACGTTGGGCATTCAGTCAATCGAGCAGAAAACTGCGACGTGTGAGTTCTCTTTTTTGTTTAGTACATTTCTATGCATACAGGCTGAGCAAGAAAATGCAGTGATTGACAGCATCCCTAACCCATTTCAAACATCCACATCTGGAGGGCCGCTCTTTAAAGGTCCCACGTCATGGCCATTCCTACTGATCATAATTCCATTGTTGAGGTCTACTAGAATAGATTTAAATTGTGCAATTTTCCAAACTCACATTGGTTTCTCACAGCATCTCTGTATAGTATGTGTATTCACTCTCTGTCCTAAACGGCTTGTTGGAGCTCGCCCCCCCCCCCCCCTCCCTGTGAGCCCAGTGTGCTCTGATTGGTCGGGACGTTGCGAGGCTCGCTGCTGCGAGGAGCGGACAGGTTTCCGGGTCGGCGATACAGGAGAACAAGCAAAACTCATCCTGAGCACACACACACTCACAGCCGAAGTAAAAACAATAAGTGTGGCTTGATATTGAGAAAGAAAAAGGTTTCTAACGCTGTGAGAATGGGTCTGCGGAGAGCATTTCTCCGCCATCCTAACTCGTCTATTACCAGCGTTCAGGGAGCTCTATGCAAGTCAATGGGACTCCCTGTTAGTTAGCCAAGGCATCCTGGTGTGTGAGGTGCTCCGCGGATTGGTCCATTTGGTCATTTGTTGTTGATTTGGGTGTTCACACGTCACAGAACCCAGGAAGCAAACAATGGAAAAAGAGAAATCTCCAACGAGGCGTTCTGGGGCAGCATAAACAGGTCTTTTCTGTGTTGGAGTTTAACTCGCTACAGGGTGTACTTTGAGGGTTTTTCACTCTGGAGACCGTTTACATGCATAAAAACCTTCATAACACACAAGGGGACGGGTAATAACCGGAGAAGCATGACATGGGCCTTTTACGCAACTGTTTTTCTTTCCTATTCCCCACCGAGATCCTGTTGAATATTTCATCCTCAAAGCACAGATAGAGTGTCCCGTGCCGTTCACACAATATGCCTTTTGTCTTTGGTGTGAGAAGCTCCGGTGAGAAAAACAAAATACCAGGTCAGCGGTGTCTTTCTGGAGCAGCATCGTGACGACAGGTTGAAACACGAGAGATGTTTTCCAGCCAGCATCTCGTGGGCCACTCTGCGACGCTGGAGGTCATCAAGGGGAGCGAAGTGACAGTCTGTCTTGGAACTCAGATGCTCAGTTTCCACCTGAGGTCCAGCTCAGATTGCTTTAAGTCTGCAGTTGTTGCCATACATCTGTAAAGTAAAACCATAAAACAGGTATTTGTCTGTCATGTGACCAGCTGACTTTATTTGATCAGGTGATAATAGGAGAGTAAGTGGTGTTTCTGTAATGTACCTCATTTATTTAATATAAAACTTAATTTAAACTTCAGTTGATTTTGACTTATTACACATTTAGCCTTTAAGGATTTAACTACTTTTTGCTCTCAAAATCAGCACTCTCTTTTCATTGCCATTTCCTAAAATTGTGTGGATGTTGGTCAGTCAGTCAATAACTTCGATCCAGACTGAAATATCAGAATGGATTACATTTGGTACAGACACCCTTCATTCTTAGAGGATACAAGGTCGATTTTGTGTGATTTAGTTAATCTGAAGATAAAACTAATTGTGCTTGAAAGGAGTATAAAAAACTGGAAAATCCTAAATAAATAATATGATTGATGTATATAAGATGACATACATATGAATTGCTCAATCTCGGTCACTTACAAAAACACTACAAAAAATAAGTTTTACTTAGTGGAGGGGGAGAAAGAAAAACTCGATTATAATCCAAGTCACATTTACACACGGCATCTATTGCACGTCTGTCCGTCCTGGGAGAGGGATCCCTCCTCTGTTGCTCTCCCTGAGGTTTCTCCCATTTTCCCTTTAAGCTGTGGGTTTTCTCTGGAAGTTCTTCCTTGTACGATGTGAGGGTCAAAGGACAGAGGGTGTCGTATTGTCATACTGATATTCTGTACACACTGTGAAGACCACTGAGACAAATGTAACATTTGTGATATTGGGCTATATAAATAAACATTGAGTCCTATATTTTCCAACTGCAGAATCAAATGTTTATATTTTGGCCAAAAAATGTTCAACACTCAAATGTCGGTAAGTGTGCTCTTGTGTCCTTTGAATCTGTTCTTAGTCAATGTCTTCTCGTTGGTGTGTTTAAGGAAGAAACTTCTTAAGTAGGGTTATCACGTGAGGCTGAAATGTAGCTGGTTATTTTACTAAACCCACTTTAAGTCACTCTTGGCAATACTGCTCTCATTTACTAACACAGACTTCACTGTTACCTCATGAAGAGGGAGCTGCTTCAGGGTGACTGTCGCTTGGCAATGACCCCACGTCCCCTGCTTACCCAGGCAAGATGTCCCGCCAACATCAGAGCTGTGATGTGCCGGATCAAGTAGCTGCGCTGCTATCTTGTTACTAATCGGATAATCTGTTTGGCACAGGGGCCCTTTTCCATTCCAGCTTACATAACTGGGTCTGTGTTCAGGTTCTGGCTGAGAGTCTGGGCCAAAGGATGACCACTGTGAAGGAGAATGGGACAGTTTTTGTCGAAGCAAGGCACACCATGGTCATTTCCAGGAAGCTTGTTCTCTCTCTCTCCTTAGATCACCTTTATCCCTGCCCTGGTTTTTCTTCAGAGGGGTCAGAGGTCAGTGCAGGTGGTCTTTTGAGCTCCAGAAATCCAGACTCCAGAGATTTCGTCAGACTCAACAATACTTCCAGATTATATTTCGCCTGTGTTTCCTTTCTCTTTCTGTGTTTATTTTATTGCAAAAGTGTCTCTCCTGAAGATCCTGCAGATCACTGATTTTAAGAGAAATAGCTTAGATCACTATTCAAATATTTTTGAAGGTCCATCCCAAAATCCTCATTGTTTATTTTACTAATGGTTGATTATATTAAGCATTTTAACTACATAGTAACTACACTTAATAAAGCAGGGGAGTGCAGTTAAAAAGAAGTATACATGGGCAGAAATGGCATATACTCAATAAATACAAGTACCACATATACATTTAAGTGGAGTAATTGATTAAATGTACTCGCGAGTTGTTTATTTCTGTAAGTAGACATTTCAATTTGTAACATTTTGACAGAATTGTAAACTAGTCTTGTTTTTCAACATAATACCTCAGGGTATTTTTTTGCCTTGTTTGTATGCTTTATTTTCCAATGTATCTTGTGTCTTTTGACTGTGTACTTGTATTTTTCTGTCTTTATTCATTTTTTAACTTTTTTTAAATACTGTCTATGATTAACTTGGAAACAAATTGTATTATTATTATCATTATTATCATCATCATCATCATCATCATCATCATCATCATCATCATCATCATCATCATCATTATCATTATTATTATTATTATTATACGATATCCTTAAAATTAAACATGATTTTCATAAATAATCTGCGGTACTTGCTTTTAATATTTGTGTTCAAACCGTTTTTGTCAATTTGTTTACTTTCTGGGATTACCCATGATGCCTTGCTGCGGCTATAAATACCCCCTCCGTGCCTGAGGACCGCAGACTTGCTGCTGCAGTAGAGCGGTGTGTTAACCTGACCCTCATAACAGCGCTAGAAACATCCACTTTCTACAAGGCTTTACTTCATTTACGAATGGTGAACTATTCTGTCGAGTTTTTATCGAACAGTAATATTTTTAGTTGTCAAAAAGGACCGAAAGACCCGTGTTTCCTCGAAGCTATCATGCTGAACACAGAGGAAAGGTAGGAGGATGCTGATATTCTTCTAGAAACATCCAGGAGACGTTGGTTGTGTCAATTGTGCAATTTAGTCAAACTTAGTAGTTTGTTTAACTTGTTATGGAGTTCACAAACTTCCCTAAAGTAGTACTTGTTTATAAAAAAACAAGTTTAACTTTTTTAGGTAGTTTTAGCTAACTCGCCAAAAGCAGGAAATAAATGCACATAAACAGAGCTGTAATGCAACTCAGTACCTTCACCAGAGGTGGGAGAAGTACTCAGATCTTGTACTTTAGTAAAAGTAGAAGTACCAGAGGGTTGGAATACTCTGTTACAAGTATAACTTGTACTTAAGTGTATTCACAAGGTTACTCAAGTACAAGTTTAAAAGTTTTGGCATCAAAATAGACTTAAAGTACCAAAAGTAAAAGTACTTCTTATGCAGATTGGCCCATTTCAGAATAATATATATGATATGTTTAGATATTATTAAATATTAATGTGTTTATCAGAGATGGCAAAGGTAGAGCTAGTTTTAATGACTTTGTTTACTGGAAGGTAGCTTGTACTCCATGTGTAACTAAAGTCTTATTTAAGTGTTGATTATATTTCACATTCATAATCAAAATCTTCAAAGTAACTAAGTACGATTTTCCCCTCTGAATTGAAGTGGGGTAGAAGCACAAAGTAACAAGTCTCTCAAAATAGTAAGTACAGTACTTGAGTAAATGTACTTACACCACTGGCAAAAGTAAAGCAAGCAATACTGCAGTGAAAGAATGACTCTGTTAAATGGGAAAACGTTTTGTAGTCAATTTAAAGTTGCAGCTGGTAAAGGTGGGACTCATTTCCCTGTAGACATACTAAATAAAAGTACCTCAAAATTGTATTCAGTACTTCAGTAAATGAACTTGGTTTCATTTCACCACTGCAGATAATGTGCAGTAAACAGACATGAACACGAGCCTCTCAATAATTCAGGAAGATGCACTAGAGCTATTTGGCAATGTGTTTTCTAATCATGTTAAACAAAGGAAGGATCCCTTAACTTATGACTGTGCAAAGTGGAAGTGAAATATATAATTTCTCATTTCTGAATTGGACGTCGGAGGCTACAGGGCTATTCAAGTTTTCTAGAATACTTCAAACCCTAGACAGGAAACCTATTTCAAATCTAAATCTCCATCACAGCTAGTTAACTCCAAAGTATTATAGGGGAACCTGCAAGCCCTTGACAAAAGACTGCAACCAACAGACACTTGAATTGGCACCACTTTACAATAAGACTACCCTTATAAAGGGTTTACAAATAGTTTGTAATTCATTTATTAATTAGGTTGTGAACACTTTATAAATCATTAATAAGACATACGATATACAGGGCGACTGTGACCGGTTGCTTGCCAAATAGAGCCCACATTTATCTGTACTGCTAAGCCTTATTAGAAATGGTAGTAACTCATTCCTAAATGGGAATGGGTTTTACACTTTACAATAGGGCTCCCTTTTGGCAGTTATAAATGTTAGTAACTCGTAAATAAATGGTCATAAGAAACATCAAGATGGATGGGGGGGAGATTCAACTCGGTAAACAACAAATACCAAGGATGTTCGCTGATGAAGAAGACAAAGTAAGCTAGTGCCAATATAAGGCTTAGTCATCTTGCCAAATAGTGAGCCTGTGTTGATGTATGAAACCTGTTAGAACTGGTTTATAAAAGGTTCCTAATGATTAATAAAGTGTTTACAACCTATTATAAACCCTTTATGAATCCTTTATAAGGGTAGTCTTATTGTAAAGTGGTACCCTTTAATTTATGATTCATTTGTTGACTTTTTTCATCCAATAGTTTGTTCTTTACTTTATCTGTAAAAGTAGTAGTTTTGTTGGTTGAAAAGAAAACAGACTTCTCAGTGTAATACGTTCAGTTACATTTTAGTTTGACATATATTGTTTTCGATAAATAGATTCATATTTATAACGAGGATCCCTGATTATCAAATGACTGCATCCAAGCGGTTTGGAGAAACAAACAGTCGATGTGGTGTTGCTGTGTCAGTAATATGTATTTAATAGCATTCCTTTATGTGAGAGGTGATACTCATGGTTATCTAAGCTAACGTTTTTTATGAACAAATGCATGGCTCGATTGTAGTGTGTTTTCTTTCTGTTTACAAAAACAGAGGCCTTGTGTTTGTCCTCTTTGAGTTTTATCATCTGCCAGGCAGCGAGGGAGAGGTCCATCATGCCTCTGTGAAGGCAGCGAGGGAGAGGTCCATCATGCCTCTGTGACTATATGAGCTCCCCCTCTGTTATGGCCGTGTCAGCTAAAGGCATCAACTGGCCTACATCAGACTGGTTGCATAACCTCCTCCCCTTCTGTGTGTGTGTGTGTGTGTGTGTGTGGTGGTGTGTGTGTGGTGTGTGTGTGTGTGTGTGTGTGTGTGTGTGTGTGTGTGTGTGTGGTGTGTGTGTGTGTGTGTGTGTGTGTGTGTGGTGTGTGTGTGTGTGTGTGTGTGTGTGTGTGTGTGTGTGTGTGTGTGTGTGTGTGTGTGTGTGTGTGTGTGTGTGTGTGTGTGTGTGTGTGTGTGTGTGTGTGTGTGTGTGTGTGTGTGTGTGTGTGTGTGTGTGTGTGTGTGTGTGTGTGTGTGTGTGTGTGTTACATCTAACCTGAGTGTAACGTAGTGACTGGCAGTTTTCATTGGTTGCTGCAAGCCTTTTTTATCCGAATTGAAAAACGAAACTGTTCCATCCGGTTTCAGTTGTGATCTTGACATTATAACCTCAGCGTTTATTTTGAAACTGCAGACAGGGCTGTGATGCAGACCTTAGCCTGCATGTACCAGTAACAAAGTGCAGATGGGCTTGAAGTGACCACATTCACGGGAGGAAATGTCTGCACAATGGCAACATAACTTTAAGAGGCTCTTCACATGCACAAAACAAACATTTATAGAGCTGCAAGTAATGATTATTTACCCTATCAATCAATCAGCTATTGTTGATAGTCAAAACAGGTTGTCTTAATGGACTGATTATTTCAGCTCTAATCATTTTTTTAGATATTAATAAGAGAAAGTTGGGAACATTATTTTTCTATGGTCAACTTTATCTTTCTACAGCCCCCCTACTCTGACATTTTGTCAGACTGTTATCCTGCCATGATCATTTCATGGCAGGATAACCCTACTAACATTTAATGTGGCACATCATCGCCCACACACACATGCCACACACACATGCCAGACACACCCTTTCTGCTGGTGGGTTGACGGCTTCATGTTTTTGCCTGTTTTCGAAAACAGGCAAATGCTGCGGTGATAAGATTGTGATTTACAGCCTTGTTTGCTTATTCCCTCAGTTTGGTATCGTACTGTTATTTTGTGTTGCCACGGGCTTACCAAACGGTGCCTGTGCTGACGAAGCCTGCGCTGGAATCAGAAACCACAAACAAAATGTCCTCCTGTGTATCGGGTGTGGCAAATGTCTGTGAGGGATGTTTTTTAAATGCCATGTGCTCCATATAAGTGCTGCCTGTTTGGTGGGTTTCGGTTGATGTGGATTTGTTTTATTATTATTACTACATAAAGAATATATTTATACTTTAGACTTGGTGATATCGATAAAATGAACACAACATCTAGTCTGACCACAACATCGATAATATTGATATGTTGCCCCGCCCTAATTCTAGCCTCCCAAAGTGGTAACCCTTCCTTCTCACATGTTAACTACTCAGCCATTGCCACTGTTGTCCTTTGGCTTCTACACTTTGCTTATTTGAATATCTTGCTCTTCACTGGCCTGGTTATTTAGACTGGTCTTGTTGTGTGTGTTGTTTTCTGTGAGTCTAAACCAGCCTTGCACAGCCACAGTTTGTGTCAGTGCCTGATGTTTTGACAGGGATACGTCCATCCACAGTAGGAGCATTTGTTGCGTCCTGTTTCTGTCTCTACATATTTCCGACACGCTGCTCTGCCAAACTCCCAGGGATAGGAAGCGGTCTGAGGACTCTCCTGTTTACTTTCTTTCACCAGCAATGCGTTGTTAATGTTTATGTATCCGCCTTAACCATTTCTGGGGTTAACAGCCTTGTTTGTGTTGACAATCTGAGTTTAAGTTGGGTCTTTTTCCATCACTAAGCTGGTCATTATACTGTAAGAAGTTGGTTTGGTGTGTCTCAGGATTCTTGGAGAACCTGCCAGAGCACTTCCTCTTTTAGTTGAGTTGTGTATTTCTTGGCTAGCAGCTGAACTGGGCCCCGAAACAATTCACCTGAAACCAGCTCTCAAAACAACTCGGTTCAGGGAGCAGGCAGTGGAAGCATTAATCCTAAAAAAGATGTTCCTGTTGCATGTCCTCACCCCTCGAGGCCTGGCAGAACTGGACAATGACGCACTTGGCATCTTTGAGTCTCTCTTCGACACACAGATGATTCAATCCTCACCAGCATATGAATACAGGCCTGGGGCCTCATTTATAACGCCGTGCGTAGGATTCACGTGGGAAGGTTGCTTACGTAGTAGAAATCCAAAAAATAGGTACAGATATTTTCCGACATTTTCCGATTCACCAAACATTGCGTACCGGCGAGGAAAGTGCGTACGGCACTTCCTACGCCGGTTTCCCTTTATAAATCACAATCGGCTCGACATGCGGTGCAGCTTTTGCGGGCTTCACGTAACGCCCATATTTGCCTATAGTCAAAGAAACGCCCATTCATTCATTCATTCATTCTGACTGACTGCATGAAGAAGATCAGGAAATGACGACAGAACAGCTAAAAAAGACATCTCACACCGTGTCAGATTTTGGTTATTTTGGGGAGGTGGAGATAAATCATATTGTTTGGTGGATGCAGTTTGAACCAGAGTAGCAGCATGGAGGTCGGATCGTCACCAAAATAAATAATAAGTGGTCCGAAAAAGGTTCATGACAAAAAAAATACACCTAGCCTTCCTCAGGCAGTGTGTTTGTACCGGGGACAGGAGACCCCCCATGATGAGAGACTGTAAGAAATGATCGGGGAATCCCTCCGGAGTGGAGTCATGACGACTCACCACCCCCCCCCCCCCCCAGTTAAAGGAAATACAACTAATGTGTTGCGTTATATTAGCTGTACAATTTACCACACATGGTGTTCTTAGTTTCCACACCTCCTGTGTTTTACGAGCGACTTATCAAGTCTTGGCAAACGGCATAAGGATTAAACGTGTTAGTAGCCTATATAAAACCATGCTCGTATCTACAACCTATAGAAATGCAACACGGCGTCAGTTTAAAGTAATGCTGTCCTCCTGCTTATCGCATCATTTATGAGAAAACATTTCATAACATTAACACAACATATTCGAGGTGGTTTTAAATAACATATCCGTATTTATTGATTTCTCCAAGTTATGTTTTTGTGTGCACTGAGGAGTCTCAAACAGGCCTTTGTTTAATCATTTTAAGATTGGCTTTAATCAATGTTTGAAAATGAATTCTTCATATATGATAAATGAGAGGTAACATTTTATTTATGATATTATTTCCACATATTTCTCTCCATTCTTCCTTCTGCCAACGGTGTCGCAGTTTCTCGTCTCTCCCGTTGTTGTGCTTAGTGCGTACGCATGGGTCAGAGTTTGCGTGGTGGACCGCACATTTTCCCGTCAAGTTAGTATTTTATAAATCGCAAACATTGCGTAGAAACTGGCATACGCCATTTTTTGAGTGTATATCCCTTTATAAATGAGGCCCCAGGTCTGTGTGTGTGTGTGTGTGTGTGTGTGGGTGGGTGGGTGTGTGTGGCCTAGCATTACTATACTTGTGGGGAACTAAATCTGTTTACACAGTCACGTGTGGGGACTCGCCTCCCTTATGGGGACAAAATGGAGGTCCCCATGAGGGGAATCATTACTTTTAGGGTGAAGACTTGGTTAGGATTAGGGTTAGGGTTAGGTTAAGGGTTAGGCATGTGTTGGTTATGGTTAAGGTTAGGATAAGTCTCCAGGAAATGCATGTAAGTCAATGTAATGTCCCCTGAAGTGATGTATACATGGTATGTGTGTGTGTGTGTGGCCTTCAGAGTGCTGCACTCCTTTTCACCCATAGAGTTGACCTTCTTAAACGGTAACCTAAATTCTGTTTTTAGGGTAACCTTGTGACCTTTTGGTGGGCTACAGGCAGAAGCTAGAGGGTCATCGTGGCACAGGGGGGCGAGGGGGAGGAGAGCTGCTTAAAGTGTCTGAAATGTCAGAAGACCAAAGTGTCGTCTTTCAAAACAAGCTGGCATTTCCATCAAGGACGGGCTCTTCTGTCTGATCTGGAAGGGAAGATGGAAAGAGAGAAGCTGGTCTTGACATCTTGGCGAGCGTGCTAATCTCTCCCTCCATCTGTCCTACCTGCCATCGCAAAACACTGATCACTTTTGTTTCTGTGGAATAAATAAGGAAACTCCAGACTACCAGAATCGTTTCTACACTAAATTCTGGTAGATGTTTAAATGATTCCTGATCCTTACATTGCATGCATCTATTTCAGATTCAAGGTTTTTCTCGTGTGTTTAAAATAAGTCAGTAGAGGAATTTAAGTTATGTAAGTACATCGTGTACTCAAGTACTGCACCTATAATGTTATGGTACTTCAAGTATTTCTACGTGTAGTCCAACTATATGCTTAAAACTTAAAAACATATGATGAGTTAATCAAATCGGATGCATTCTTATAGATTAAACCACAGTTTAAAGCTCCTTATAAATTCATGCGTCTTTAATAATACAAGTCATTTTATTATGATGTTGTCAGCAGCCATTCTGCTGCATAAATACTGCTTTTACTTTTGATATTTAAGAAACATTTAACTGGTAAAACTTTAAATGTTTTAATACTTTTCAAAGCAGGATTTGTTTTGCCAATTGAGAATGTTTTCTATTATTGTTGCAACCAAAAATCATTCTCACTACCAAATAAAGCAACCACTTATTTTTGCGAGTGAGTGGGGCTTGCAATACTTTACATTAAAGGGGACCTATCATGCAAAATGCACTTTTTGATGTCTTTTATACATAAATGTGTCCCCGGTGTGTCGGGGAACTCACGCAGCGTCAGAAAATAAAACCCTCTCTCTTTTCCTCCGTACCTAAATCTCTAAAAACGGGGCTACAACAGAGCTGATCCAGATTTGCGTCCGATATGACGTAATATCTGAAATGTGGACCCACGGCCCAATCAGAAACGTTGCTATCAGAAACAATGCCCGACTGTTTTGGACGTAATATGGTCGGTGTTTACATTAGCATCGCTAACACTCAGAGCTAACCTGTACTGGTGAGCATGTGTGTGAAGAAGCAGGAAGTAAAAAGGAACTCACCTTGTGGTATAACCGGCAAGAGAGAAAGCCTTTGAGCTCCAGACTGTTTCAGAAAGAATCCTTGATAATCCATGATATGGCGTTTCATCACGGCAGCATTTAGTTTAGACAGTAGCTGCCGGGTCCATGAGCTCAGCCCCCTCCTTTTTTATATCAATATATATATATATATATATATTTAAAGCTTTATACCCCAAATCAGCCCTTTTGAAACAGGAAGTGAAACAGAGGGATATGAGGCGTGGCTAGAATGGGTGATCTGTTTGGTATTTTGAGCAAAACACTTCATAGAATTTTTTTTAATATATTTGTATATATCTGAGACCTCTGCTATTGCCTAAAAATAGCATGATAGGTGACCTTTAAGCATTTCAACATGTTACAAAGTTTCATTTTTTCCAAACAACAAAACTAATAAATAATACAAATACGTTATTCTTTACATTAAAATAAAAGGCATAATAGATCAATTAAATAAAACAAGCAATTCATAAATAAAACAGATGTCCTCACATAATATTGCATCCCCACTCATTACCTCAAAAAACAGTAAATGATTCCATAAAACTTAGAAAATGTGTCGAGGTATTTCTGAACTGGTCATTTGAAAATCAACATCGTTGTTTTCAAAGTCAACACCAAGAAATGATGAAACGGAAAAGGTGTGCACCGTTTCTCCTGCAGAGTGAGCAGGGTGACATAATGACCTTTTATTTTTGCTCCACCCTGTTGGCTCGTAGCTACGCAAATTAGGTTGTCCGGGTTACCTGTCTGCTCTGCAGGGAAACTGGCTGCACAGCTTTTTCCTTTTCACAAAAACAAAGTCACATGTATCTGATGTTTTACTGTGTCTCGGATCATATCTGTATATTTACTCAAAAACAAGTCGGTGCGGCTCGTGAACTTCAAACAGAAGATTGTACATCATAATTGTTAGCTTTAGGTGCGACAATCTCTCAGGCTCAACTAAGGCATTCTGGGAAAGCTATTTATTATCTGAAAGGCCAACATTTGACAAACTAAGTGAGCATCCACAGCCCTTATGTCCAGGCAGCGTCGGCCTTCTGCCATCATGTCTGGTTTGAGTAGCATGACTGTAACTCAAAACACCAGAGATGAGTGTTCCCAAAAGCCTCCAGCTATTTGCAGAGGTGTTTACAGATCATGTGCTTGTTGTGATGCATGCCTTACAGGTCACACACACAAGGCATCAGGAACTCTTTGAATGCAGTCAATAAATCATAGGCTCTTAAACAGTCAGCCCAGTGATGGAGCCAATAGACTGAAACTTGTCGGGGCCCGCCCACATCACATGCTAGTTCTTGCCTCGTGTTTTATGATTGCTTTGAATTGTGGTCACAGGGTGGGAGTGAAATGCCTAAATCTATATATAACCAACCTGACTGGACTACTTGGAGCACCGTGTCTCATGTTTAAGGCCAAAGAGTTAGAGTTCCTTCTGATTAGAGGCTTGTCTGGTCTCTGTCTGACGCCATATTGATTCTAGGACTAAAGTCACACTAGAGGAATTTATTATGTCAAAGCCAGGATTCTTCGAATTTTGAATAGATAATTGTTGGTTTCTGAGGAAACAAAGCAGTATAAACATGTTAAATCCCTGACACGTCATTGGTGGAGCATGTTGTTGCTACAGGTGCTTTATGTTGGCTAATTACAGGGAAGTGCTTAATGAAGAGGGGGTAAGTGTGAGTGAGGCAACACACTCAGAGCCTAACATCAGTATCTGAGGGAGAGTCTTACAGCGTCAGACGCTCTGTGGAGTTTGTGTTTGAGTTTCATTTCCTTGTAAACACACCGACGTTCTGTTCTGAACTACTTTGCGATTATTTTCGTTGCAGATTATTTGACGGATTGAGTGTTTGGTTAACACAACACCATCCATACAGTGTAGCACCTTGTCTGCCTCTTAGTATAGTTGTAACTATGCCATGAGATAAGTGTGTTGTAGTATAGTGTCGCGCACATATACTATCAAGATGTGGCGCGGAGTGACACTGAGTAGTATGTGTATGTAAGCCTGCATCTAGAAGTATGTATGTAACACGGCTGAAGAGCTGTTGGGTAAATAAAGTTGTCTCATAGAAAGGTCTACGGATCCCTTATTACACTCCATGACATGCGGTCAATTATACAGCATAACGGACTATTGTGTTCAGATGAAGTTAGTTACACACATAAACAAACAATACTTCATCTTGCCAGTGTTGTGTTTTCACTATTAGAGGCATGTTGCATCTGCAGATAGTCGAAAGCCTTTTATGTGTGCAGAAAGATATTTTGAGGAAATCCTGACCAATTCCTCTCCTCTCCACAGTTCCTGGTTATCGGGGTCTCGGCTTTCCAGCTCAATCCCTCAGTCTCCGGGGCCTCAGTGGTGCTCCTGATGCCCCTCACCCACAATTAAAGATCCCGGGTGGGCGAGGGACTGCGAGGGATCACTCCGTCGGCGTGCAGCTCCACAAGGTGACGGTGCTCAAATTCACACACCTACACAGAGAGCTGTAACGCTTACTGGTGAAACATGGGACAATAACATAAACACATAACATCTGACCCCATAACACAAAGTTCTGCTGGTAAAACAGAACAGGCCCGCATCGCACTAAGTGATGTTTTGGTTGAGTTTAAAAGCAAGTATCATTACTGTGATAAAGAGGGGAAAAAACAACGCTTATTAGAAGAGTCAAATGATAAAAGTGTTTGTGTTTCATTGGTATTTTAAAGACTTTTATTTGACTTCAAACATTTTTTTTAAAAAGCAAGTTAGTTCTGAAAGTGTGTGTGTGTGTGTGTGTGTGTGTGTGTGTGTGTGTGTGTGTGTGTGTGTGTGTGTGTGTGTGTGTGTGTGTGTGTGTGTGTGTGTGTGTGTGTGTGTGTGTGTGTGTGTGTGTGTGTGTGTGTGTGTGGTGTGTGTGTGTGTGTGTGTGTGTGTGTGGGTGTGTGGGTGTGTGGGTGTGTGTGGGTGTGTGTGGGTGTGTGTGTCTGACTGTCACAGAGGATTAGAGATTGAGGATCAGACAGATCAGTCCTAACGGTCATACGAACCTCCTCATCAGGTTTTTATTATTGCTCATTACTTGTGTGTGTCTGCTTCTCACACAGAACTCGTGCAAACCTGTCTCATGCCGTAATAACCCAATCATTTGCCAAACCCAATATCTTAAGACTTGTATCTTTGTCAGTTCATAAAACCAGAAGTGGTTTCAAACGCACATCAGTTACACATGATGACTCACCGGCTGCTCGCACGATACCCACACAACCAAAACCACTTCCTGTTTGACTCTTTAGAGACCCACTCAAAGGCAGAAAGCTGTCTTTCATACTTTCCTTTTTAAAGTGTAAAGAGCCCAGTGATGTAGTTAGTTACAGTCACTGTATCAAATCAAAACACTGCACCCTTAACATGCTATCACTCCCAAGTATGGAGTACAACACAAACAAAACAATAACATATACCGTATATCAGGGGCGGACTGGGAAATCAGCCCGGGACTCTCGACCAGCTCACTTCGGTACCGCCGGCCCACCTCTGTAGTAAATACCGCTAGTAAATTGTCAACGGGGCGGGTGAGGTGCTAGTGACTTATCCGACCGGCCCACATCGTCCGTCCGACCGGCCCACTTAAGTACCGGCCCATCGGTCCCGAACGTCCCGATGGCCAGTCCGCCACTGCCGTATATAACGTATTGACCCGAACACAAGTCACAACAACAGATCGCTCCAAACGAGTGTTCCCCCAAGCGAGACACCGTCTTAAAGTACGGTGACGGTACACAGCAACAGGTGCCTGGAGAGGTAGAGATGGAGAGAAACAGCGACCAACTCGAACAAAGTGGCTCAAACGTAGGGCGAGTTAATAAACAAGGAAGTTACGATGCCAATTTTAAGATAATGGTGATCAATGAAGCATCAAACAACTGTCGCGCAGCAAAGAAATATGAAGTTACTGAGTGTAACGTTAGAAAATGGCGAGCCTTCAAAATGTAAACAGTCAGAGAAAAGGTATTTTTCGAAAAGATTGGTCTTGAAAAAGAGGGGTCGTCTTATAATCGGGTAAATACGGTAATTGTCTCTTTATCAACAGAACAGTGTTTGTTCTGTGCTTTTTAGCACGGTGCAGTAATGAAGCAGTTTCAATGCCTCCTCTATCCCTCATTCACACATGTACTGCATACAGTCAGTATCTCCTGCTCAGATCCCTGCTTTGTTTGTCCAATCAGATTGCAGCTAATTTGTAAACAGGCTCTCAGAGCCACGGAGTTCCCGCCCACATGAATGAACCCCATAAGTTACGCTATCTGATCCCCTTTTTGACAAGTATTGATCATTGTTATTGAGTGAAAGAAAAAGATTTCCCCTGGTTATCCGACCGGTGATAAATGATCACTACTAAAATGCAGCAGTTTTTAAATGCATCATTTATATAGAAATGATTATGTTTTCTGATGGAGAAGGCTAAAACAAGTCTGTCTTTTGATTTGAGAGTTAAGAAAAAGAGAAAATGCTGAAAATGAGTTACATTTTGTGAAGCCTGTTATGTGACTACAGCTCAAACGTGAGTGTCTCTATTTTAAGTTAAGAACAAAGAAGGGTATTTGCATTCAATCCAAAAAATCAAATCGAATGTATTAATGAAATGTGTCTTTCTTCTGTGTTGTATCTCTATTGATCCAGGATGAGAAGTTGACAGTAACACAGGCCACTGCAGCGAGTGGGACCCCCTCTTTTCTACGCTTCCAGTACCAGCTGAATGAGCGCCGCTCGGCCTCCTGGGATACGTTTCTATCGAGAGACTGCCTCTTCCTGGAGGTCCCTGCCGGGGCGCTGGTGGACGGCAGCAAAGAGGGGTGAGGATTCCTTAAGACCCCTAACTTATAACACCCCCTGATGGGTTTTCATGATATTAAATGCTAGAGCACTGCATTTATTGATATCTGAGGCGGGACCTTCCCCCTCTTTAGGTTTGAAAAATGTTATTAAAGTGGTCAAATTCTCAAAAAAACGTTCCAGCCCACTGGGGAGATTTTAGAATATTGTTTTCCCTCTACAGGAATGAAATGATATCATTAAGTGCAAGATATCAGAATCAGAAAACCTTTATTAGCCCCACAGAGGGGACATTTATATTGTTACCTTAGAAGCATGCATACAAAAGTATTAAAGATACAAAAATAATTACAATAAAAAGAGTTACACAATTTACAAAAAACACATCCTGTAACAGTTCTGAGGATTTAGCAGCCAGGTATATACTGCAGTTATTAACGGCATGTTATTGCACATATTGCACATAGTTGGTTGGTATTTAACAACAAGGGGTGTTATAGTCCGAAGTGTGTTTGAATATGAATAGCCCTCATGTCCAGAGCAATGTCTGCACACCGTACGGTTTTAACATCGTACGCCAGGATCGTGTTTTCAGGCCATCGGCGCGTCTCAGATTAAATGAATGCTAATACGTTTGGTTTCCACGGCCTGGCTTTGTGCTGCTGTAATCGATGCCAGAGCAGAGTAATCGATGCCAGAGCAGAGCAATCGATGCCAGAGCAGAGTAACCTTCCCGCTGCGGGCACACAGTTCTGCAGCTGCCTCTGCAGCACTTATGTAAAGAGGGGGAAACCAAACACTGTGTGTATTCACCTCTCTCCTTGTTTACAAACGGGTTCTCTCTCTCTCTGTCCCGCTCTCCCTTTGATGATTCAATATGCGTGTTTGGTATGAATGTCACAATGACAACATTGTTAAATCACAAAGAGGTTATAAAGATAACGGTTGAAGAGAATAATCTTGTTCTCTCTCTCTGCTTCTTCCTCAGGCTAACTGCTCTGCTTGAGTTTGTGGAGGAGAAGCTGAAAGTTAACTACGTGTTCCTGTGGTTCCATAAAAAGAGAGAGGATCGATGTAAGAGCTCTTCCTCTTTTTATAAACTGTTTTTTCTTTAGAGGCAGGGATTGCTTTTCAAAACCTTTTTTAATTGAGTTTAAAAAACATCAATAATATAGATTTTACTAAATGGATTTCCACATATGAGGCAACACGTTGCTGTTGACTAGGCAGCTTTTAGGAAGTGCAGAGAAAACTGAACATTCTGAAGTTGAAAAAAACACAAATCCACATCGTTTGAAAGCCTCATTACTCAACATGTTCTATCTTGTTTATGTCGTCTGTGCCCCTATGACAAGCTGTTCATCACATTTGTAATTTTATGATGTGATACGATAAAATAATACTTTATTGTTAGACCAAGTCTGAAATGTTTCTTGCATCACAGCAGCTTAAGACACGATGAAAGGAAACTTTAGCATAACATTAAAATCAATATTAGAATTAGAATGGGAGGGATGATTAATGGTCTCACATGCAGAGCACACGGTGACATGTGTTCTCTGCTTTTAACCCATCCTTGTACCAGGAGTCTAGTACTAGGAGCAGTGGGCAGCTATTGTACAGCGCCCGGGGAGCAATGGGAGTGGGGGGGGGAAGGGTGGGGGGTCTGGTGCCTTGCTCAAGGGCACCACGGCAGGGCAGGAGGTGAACTGGGACCCCTCCAAGTAGCAGTCCACACTCCATTTTTAGGTCTGGTCGGGGACTTGAACCGGCGACCCTACGGCTCCCAGTCTACTGACTGAGCCACTGCCGGACGATATGTCCTCAGACATGGTTAAAGATGGCAAAGATAATCCATAGAAGCAAAAGCATTGTCTTGCATAAGGACATACACACGGGACAATATTTGGACAAACAAGACAACCGGACATTCCTGTCTTAGATACCCATAACTAGTTAACCTGCAGTGTACCTATAGAAAGTATAAATATGTTTAGGTGTCATACAGAATACATGTTCTTAGTCATATTTCAAAAGAGTCTAAAGGCATGAGCTAATTGCAGCTCTGAGGTATTCTATCCTCAGGTGCAGGCTACGATGTTGTGATTGGATTCTTCAGTATTGTTGAGAAGTGTCATCATCCAGGTATCTGCAGCTAAACATCTGCCTCTCTTCCCGTCCCCCCCCCCTCAGCGACCATCTTCAGGACGTTCCACTTCATGGGCTTTGAGATGGTGAAGCCGGGACACCCCATGGTACCGGCCCGGCCCGATCTGGCTTTCATGGTTTACTCTCTGGACAACAGCAGCTCAGACGAGGAGTGACTGTCGCCGTGACAACCTCCTCCTCCTCCTCCCCCTCCTCCCCCTCCCTCCCAGAGGAGATCTGCAGATTGGATTCACAGGGAGCGACAGATTGAACTAAACCATCAGGTGCATCTTGGGATTTGGCTATTTCTTTATTTCTCCCGCCGCGTGGCTCCTCTCTTGGCCACGTTATATATTTTCGCTGCCATCAAGAAAACAGTTTGGTATTCGGGAGAAGGCGTGTTTTACATTAAAATGCAGCATATCTCTCCAGACAGCTTCCGCTTTGAGAAAAGAGACTTTGTGTGCGCTATATCATGCAAGCTGTGTTTGGTAGGGATGCAAAGAGGGAATGGTGGTGTATGGTATGTTCAATAAAATGTTGTTTCACTTTATACAAAAGATGGGTGACAGCCTGATTTGATGCATTCGACATTATAGCCCATGTAAGCATTACTCTACTCTTCCTCCTGACTCATCATCATCATTCCAGCACCTGTTAAGCTCTGTAGCCACACGTGGAGAAACCCTGTTATTCTAAGGGTGTAAAAAGCAGCCTCTTTGTTGAGATGTCACACCAGGCTGGCTGTCAGCTCGTGGAGGTCAACCACCTTCCTCCTCTTCCTCTTCCTCCTCTTGGTGATAATCAACCTGTCACTCAGACGGGAGGAAGAGCAGAGCGGCCTCACTGTGGTCACACACAGAAACCACTGCTTCGAGTCACTTTGTTTTTTTTCAAAGACTGTCATCTTAATAATTGTTGGTGTAAGAGGGTCCGGTTTAAAGAGAAGCTCCACTTTGCATTTAAATGTACACATCATGTTTTAATCCTGTGCAGCCCCAGCTTGGTGCCTCGTGTATTTTCATTACGTCACATTCAGAGTTAAACATCAGCTGTATGAATCTGGATGGGGAAAAAAACACGTTAAGAAACATTTTTCAAGCTGCGACTTAATTTCTTATCGATGTAGTGAAAGCAGGAATTACATACAAGTTCTTTATGTTCTGTACAACACATCAATTTAGGATCCACCAAGACACACACTGGGGCTTCCTTCAGCGAGTAGAGTCAAAGCAGTCAACGCTCGATTGAAACGAGTGCAGTGTTCATATTTTATACTTCAGAGTCTAATTGAGGAATGTGTCTATTTTCCATATTTCATCCCATGCTGATTCAGACCCGCGCTATAATGTGAGGAAAGGAGCTCATTGTAGAGGTACAACAGAAGCCGGTGAATACCCTATATGCAATAAGAGTCAAAATAAAAAACGCCAAAGAATCCACCCTGTCTGTAAAAAGCTGGTTCAATAGTCAGCGGATGTAAGCCTATGGTATGTAAAGCAATATTAAGTACATTCCCCATGCCTCAGAGTAGTCTCTTCCATATTGGTGTTAGGATGGGGGGGGGGTTTATTCTTCCGCATGTCTTCACTTCATAGTCTTCATTGCTACTGATTGAGCCCCTGACTATAAGCTGTTAGGAAATGTCAATAAATGAGTTTTCTCAGAGGTATATTTGTATGTATGTATATTTCTCTAATGTTTACTGTGATAGAATAGGGATTTATTGTGTGTCCTCAGTGACCTAGCTAGCCACCATTTAATGACAATCCACTCTTGTATACTCTGGATTTCTTTGTCTTGGGGGAAAAACAATAAAAATGTTTATCTTAATAATTGCTTTTGGTTTGTTTTTTGATCCTCCTTTGATCATTTGTTGTTGTGAACAGAAGCTGAGTCAGGCGCTAATCTCCAGCTAGCTCGACTCTCCGCTGGCTTCCCGCCAAGCGCTGCAACAAAGTCATTTGAACTAGAGATCTATTTCTAGGGTGGAGTCAGCTGTGCTATATCGGCGTCTCTAACACGGCAACAACCTGCTTTTCAACCTTTATTTTCTGCTCCTGAGGAGAAAAGACATCCTGTGTGTGCTCATGGCTTTAACATCCTGAGGCGTAAAACACAACACAAGGAACACAAAGCTAAATAAAATACATTTCCCGGGAAAATACATTTCTTTAACAAGCAAGGATGCACAATATTAAAAAACAACACATTGAGTTTTTATTTTATTTAGTGAATTAACCTTCACTTAATGACCAAATAGCAATTATCTTAACAAAGTCCAACATTTGAACATCACCTTTACTTCTTCCTCTTCACTGAATTTTCTTGCACAATACAAACACACCGGGCCAAATATTTACTATTGCTTTATTATTTGTTAAGCGCTATCTGTCTAAAAAATATACAATACATTTCTGTTAAATTTTACATATTTGTTATTTTATTTTCATGCAGTATTTTGCCTACATTTTATTTCCTGGTTATATGAGTATTACATGCACAAAACACGGAGGTAATGCCTTGTAAGTGAATACTCCATTTAGCAATAGATTTACATACAAATCTGATATTTATTCTCAACATATTTTCCGATTATTGACAGAGGCAGGTATCAATTTGGGGTCGAAACAACACTTGAAAAGACACAAACTAGGCTCAACACATCCAGACTGTCTAGGAAATTCCCTGTTAGTGTGAATAATTGAACACTCGGGATGCTCAAATGAAATGGCACCTCTGAAATGTGTCTCTAAGCCTCTCTGTAAAATGAATGAATCTTTCTGTATGTATCCCCATCATCAGCATGACGGTGCGTTTAAAATCTGAAGTGAGGCATTCGAGCTGAGTCAGTAATCCCCCGGACTCAAATCAGAGCGGCAGATAGTCCCCTGCTGGCCTTAATCTTACTTTGCCTTTATATAAACTCACCTCGGCAGATGAGCGGTTACCACATCAGCTCCAGTCATTGCGCACATTTCTCAGAAATATGTAAATCTAAAGCAGTCAGTACTGATCCGCTCATAAGACACTGCAGCAGACCTCACTGAAGAGCAGATCAAATGTAATGTACGTTTTCTAGTCATGCTGACAAAGATATTTCACCACAAGGTCCATTTGTAAACTGTTGGTTCTGGTGGTTTGGTATCACATGATCTATATCAGCAGATGAGGTTCTCCCTCTCCTCTAGTGAGTTATATGTCTGTGCAAGTTAATGGTCTGCAAAGGCTAAAATCCCTCCAGAGGGAGTTTCTCTCCCCCCTGCCTGAAACGCCTCCATTGGACGCCTTTGTTTACTTCCATAACATAGCGACATCACTGCAACACTGTATTGGCTAGCGTTTCAACCATGGTTTCAACACATTGTACGTTAAAGGTGGTGTAGGTAATTTATTTCAGAAACACTTTTTGTTATGGAATGCTCTTAACATCCCGATAGCAATGAATACATTAAATGCTTTGACAATAAATACATAAACAATGTCATCTGTAGAAGCCATGGCGCTGTAAAAAGCACGACCAATCATCTGAGCCGGCCCGGCTAAAATAACGGATGGCCTACCTGCCTGCAGTGTTGGCTTCAACCATCCTTTATACTCAGGGTTTGATTCCCACTCCTTTCTGTATTTTTGAGAATACAATTTAGACTGTGCCATGATGTTTAGCTTGTCACAGAGAGGCACACACACAGTGTACGAGGTGATTGAGTGACTGAGGCTGCGTGAGTCAAAGCAAAGCAAAGGCAGTTATTTATTATAGTGTGAAAGTGAGTGAAGAAACATTTACATTCAACATTTAAATCCCGCTCAAAACCAGGACGGCTTGGCAGTTGGCGCATGCGCAATTCATTTGCAGTCTCGACGCGGGGGAGTGTGGTTGTCTCCTCTCTGCTCTGACTGCAGCAGCAGCTCTGCTGCGGCCAGGCAACTGTCAGTCTGAGCGCCTGTGAGTACTATGGGAGGGAGGCGGGGCTCACGGCAGCACCCGCGGCTCGTTAACTGCAGAACAATGTGAGTCTCCAAACACCAGAAAAGTCGCTAATAACACCATTATAAATCGCTAGATTAGTCGTTAGTCGCTTTTGACACAAATAAGTCGCCGGAGGGTTTGGAAATCCGCCAAATTTAACGAACGAGAAAATCGCCAAGTTGGCAACACTGCCTGCCTGTCAACCTTCCATCTGGCGCACAAATTTATCTCGTGCCCTCATTGGTCATGTGCGCGTTCGTGTGTGTTGGAGGAGGGGCTCTGTAAGGAAGTGGCAGATTTTTTCCGGCTGTGTATTTTCAAATTCTAGAGCTGCAGTACATATGCAGGAGCCTGTACGTGGCGCTGTAACTTCCTCCACAAAAGCAGAAGAAGCATGGTTGTCATGGTTGCCCTTCTGTTTATTCTCCGCGGTGGGGGCCGAGGGAACCGGGCAGAGTTTTTCGCCAGTCAACGTGTATTAAAGTTTAAATCTTCCGGACAAAATTATACAAAGAGCTTTAAAACAAATGAATAACGAATCTATATAATGTAATAATAAAATACATGGAGCCTCTCTTTTTCCTCCCTCTCTTCGGACAGCGTCAGTGCAGCAGCTGATCCAGTAATGAGTGACCCGGCCGACAGTAAAAATAAACATATTTATAACTAGTTTAGGTAGTTTGAGAAGTGTCTCCGTCCTGTCAGATTAGACTTCACTCGCGTTTAGGTCCATATCGAGAGAAAGATAAATAATCTGAATTCAGTGTGCAGTTTACTTTGACGCGGGGGTGAGCAGCAGAGGTGGGGAGAGGCGGGGCTATTGCCTCATCATTATCAGAAAATGATCGTATAGGGCGTACACACGGAGCCGTTGGACCCCCCAGAGCGTTGCATATGCCGTTCTATTCACCTTGGGACCCGTTATCGTTTCCGCAGTCGTTTAGTGCCGTATTCGGTCGTCCTCGTGTGGCCGAACGGTCTATATGACACTAAACAGTAACGCAAACGACCGTTTTCGTCCTCGTGTGACCGGGGCCTTAGTTGGAGCCACCTGTGCTAAATTCAACTGATAGGATCCAATTCAGAAAGGCAAACACCTGTCAGAGCAAAACACAATTTTTGAGAAACTTCTTCTGGAGGTAACTTTGGAAAATAAGCCTTTTTTAAAATTTTATTTAGCCTTTATTTTTACAGGTGTAAAATCTCATTGAGACACAAGGTCTCATGTTCAAGAGAGACCTGTCACAGACCATTTACATGCACACAAACATAAATAACAACCTACAAGAAGAAAGAAAGGCCTCTTTAACCCTCTGGAGTCTGAGGGTATTTTCTCGATATTTAGACATTTCCTTAAATCACCTTTTAAATGTACTTCTTATAAAATGGCACCCCATGTGTTACATATCAAAATGTTCAGGACAAATCTCTGGTCTTGCTATAAATGCAAATGACTCACGTTCAGGGCCGTCCCTCTCTACAGGCCGATCACGCAGGCTGCATGGGGCCTCACATTGCGCAGGGGGCCTCACATTGCGCAGGGGGCCTCACATTGCGCAGGGGGCCTCGGTTTATGAGCTCGACTTGTGCGCAGTTCTCAGCGCAGTTCACCCCGGCTGACACGCGAGAGTGAGAGGTGACAAGGGGAGCACGTCTGTAACCCGACACCGTTGCAATGAATCGACATCTGACCAATCACGGCTTTGATACGGCCACTAGTGCAGGTGAAGAGATGTCGGCGAAATTTACTATTTACCTCACTGTATAAAAAAGTAACTGTGTTGATAACAATAAACAGGAATTATATCTGCAGAGTACTTTGTTTCCAAAAAAAATGGTTTCACTCCTGTTGGTTGGGGGGGGGGGCTCATCTCACAATGTCGCTTAGGGCCCCAAGTTGGCCAGGGACGGCCCTGCTCACCTTAGAGCCCTGTGTGATGAGATAAATTGCTTAACATTTGACATCCGATTTTCGGAAAATCATCAAAACTCTTATGAAAACACAATGTCAACAAATGTTTTTGGTGTTTTAGATTTGGTTACCAAAGTCTTAGGATCACAAAAGTAGTGAAATATTTGAATTACACTGTGTATAAATGTGTAATTCATGTCTAAAATAGGTGTTCATCACTCTACTTTCAGAGATATAGAAAATGCTTTCTGAATGCACTGTCAGCACCTTTTTTAAGCTGATATGGCAAACATGTCACCTATTTGTACCCAGGCGTTGTTAACTTCCTCTTTAAATGCATGACGTTACCAAATAATGATCCAAAAAACATTCTAGACATCAACTCAAGAAGAAAACACCTGATGGAAAAACCCAAACTTCCTGTTTTGCAAGGACTGGAAAACAGACAGCAATCCTTACTGAAACTAAATGAAAGTATTCATCATTATGTAACCATGGTGTCCTATTTTACGAGTTTAAAGTATGCATTACACAAGTCATGCAGAATACATTAAGATCATCTGCTCTGTGCTACAGCAGCGGATATTTAGCTCTAATCTAAAATGATCTCAAATGTAAATCCATAAATCATAAAAGTAATGGCAGGGATAAGTATACGTTATATAAAAGTGGGTTGAATCAGTTTCTTTAACATATCTTTAATGCGCAGTTAAAGGATTGAAAAGTAATAAATAACATTTGTTTTTATCGTGAGAGTTTGTTGTGAGGGTTCATTTGACACAGACAAAACGAGTCGATAATTCATCAGGTGAATTTATTGTAGCAAACAACACAAATACAAACAAAGCTCATTCACTCTCACACACAAAACGTCAGCGTCTCTACTTGTCCTTCTCCTTCTGCTCCTTCTCCTTCTTCTCCTTCTCTGCCTTGGCCTCCTCCGCCTCGTGCTTC